GAGCTGCACGCTACAACTTTGTGTGTGATGTTGCTGCTGGTCATGGATTGACTGAGTCTTGGTTACCGGTTAAAATGTTGCTCATTTGGCGTTGGTAATTTTTATTTGGAACTGAGTAACGCCGCAACGTCGTGAGCAGAAACCTGGTATCTCGATGTTGATGGTTGCGGCTGCATAGTAATCGCTGATTTTACTGCTGGTGGATCTTCCAAGAGCCCTTCAAGGTTTATAAAACTCAGTTTCCAGGTGGTCAACATACATTAAGTTCTCCCAATCGTAGTATTCCATGTGATGTACACTTAACACGCCAACAATGTTGCCTGATGATTTGAACTGGACAAAAATAGCAGACGAAAATGTGTTTACAAAATAAAAATAGTTCGGTAGCCAATGGAAATACCATGTTCATTTGCATATTGACCGTGAAAATATCGAAAACATTATTGCATGGGTGATATGCAAATTAGTTTTTGTCAAAATAAGTGACTGGCTAAAGGTACCATTACTGTTGTTCAAATTTCATTTCACTTGGCAAGTATATTCATGTACCTCAAGAGAAAAATATCGTACTTCTTAATATTGTTTATTTCTGTTATGTTTCGAAAAACGGTACTCCTGAAGGGACTACTTTGTTTGCTCTCAGACCTCATTTGCATATGAGGTGTGGAAATACCGAATTTGATTTCAGGGACGAATCAAAGTAAACTGCAGTACATATGTAATAATAATTAGCATTCTGTTTATATATTTGATTTCAATTTTGATGAACTCAAAATAAATGTGTACCATTTCAAATGTATAAGTTAACAATCTTCTTTGGGAAAAAGTATTCTTGGTGGTACATAATGAGCAAACACAATTACTGACTGGTCACTGGTTGTCGCATCAGACTTAAGATCGATAGACTCAAGTTCAAATCCTACCTTGGACTGAACATCAAAGGGTCGACCCCTACCCTGGGTGAGTGTGCCACAGACTCAATAGGAAGGCCAATTCCACTGGCCGAGATTCATTCACTAACGAATGTGACTTTGGGGGAACCTTGGTTAAGGTCCACAGGTGCTTGTGTTTGACCAAGCCTGGTTGACGCCAGAATAGCGCATCAAAAAAAAAGTTGCCATTTGATAGAGAGATGGCCACAGATGGCTATGTGTAAATTTTAAATTCATGAAAAACATAGGTAATTGACATAACTTTATTCTCGGGGGCGGAGCTTCGTCACAAGACGTTCCACGTTACTAAGACGCACACCACTGTACCACATATTTCTATGGGCTCTGCGAGTGCTGCTGAGGAACGCAGAGCGAAGAGCCGGTGAAAATTCAAAAAAACAACAGGAAATCAACTTTGAAGTAATCCTGAACAATCAAATTTTTATGTGTTACACAAGCAGGGGTAATCTTGTTACACTACTCGGGGGAGTCTCAGCAACCATGCCAAAGTACCGTTTTCTGAGAGTTTTCGGTCTTTGTTTTCACCGTGATTGTTGCCATGAAGTGAAAATGCCTGGATGTCCGCCCCTGAAAATACCATACAGTAACTGTAGTTCAAACAAAAGCACAAGTTATATTTGGCACAGAGGGCGCTGTTTATAACAAGCAAGTCTCAGAGAAATATTCATACTCTCCGGGAATTGAAATTGTTATGGCCCAGACCTAAATACTGGATATGAAGGTTAACTGAAAATAACAGAAACAATCAGACACAGAGGGGAACAAAGTGTTAATTTTACCCACCACAATTCCTGTGTTTTCTTTAGTAATTATCGTTTAAAAATCAGTCTAGTCACTGCATTTAAAATCTGTACGTGATAACTGGATATCACTTAATCTGTTTATTGTGAGGATATAGCGTCACATTTTAAGTTACTTAAATGCAATCAACAAGGTCACTTTTCATCAACATACTCCACACTGCCAGCATCAGAATGCCATAGAGAGCCATCAAATAAAGTCACACATGAATCAATTGACTCCTTAGACGACGAACAGTTTACCTGATTAATTTATTTTGGTACCCACTGTAATGAGCAGTCTTGTTTCAAACCTTTTGCTACATTATATCTGTTATCAAATTTGTGTGTGTCTATCATTGGAGGTCCATCTATGTATACAGTTGTGTCACGTGAAATTCATGAAATTCATTTACAAATTTCACATTATTTTTAACTTTCAGTTGAAAAAGATTCCCAGAATGCAATGGAGCAAGCGACGTCATTTAAAACAAAAGAGCAGTTCGCGTGTGAGAAAGCCAAATTTCTGATCCAGCAAGCTTTTGATGAAGACGCTCATGGTAATAAAGAAGCAGTAGAACTATATTTAGAAGCAGCTGACATATGTCTTACTACTGTAAGCATTTATGTAACCATAGTTTCACATACAGTAAAAACATTTATTTTTATTGCTTTGGTATTTCATCTTTTTCACTGGATTTTGAATTCAATGATTTCACGTTATTTAGTCATTTACTTGTTGAAATGTATTTAATTTAGTGGATTTTACTTATCAGCAAACAGTGAAATTAAAACCCATTGAATAATTACCTACCTAATGTAATTATAATATGATTAAAATCAATATCCAAGATGTCACAAAAGAACTCATTGTTATTCATCAGGTCAGATGTGTTTGAAAATGTTAAGAACACTTGTATTGACGTCAACATGCATCATAATTATGATACTTTCAAATATTGTATTTTGTATTAATTGGCATAGCATGTGGTGAAAATAGTATCACATCACTGAATGCAAATGAAACTAAAAAAATGCTATACTGCTAGCATTTCAGGCTGTTAGATGTCAATAAATTATTTCTAGAAAAATATATAATAATAATGTTATCAGGAGGATTCCGCAAAGTACAAACTCAGGTTGAACAGGGTCAGCTATGCACCAGTCTATACGGTTGCTGTACTATCTTTGTGCATATTTTCTGGTATTCTCATAATAACCTCATATAATATGGTCATGCGGAAAAAATGTCTGTAGTAAAACTTTTCACTAATTTGAAGATGCGTTAATTTTGTATTCAGTTTACCTTGATCTGATCCATTTATAGAGAAAAGAAACAAAAGATCCTGCTTTACAGAAAAAATTGAC